ATGGATTAAATATTTCCCTGTTTTTAAACCAGCCTCTGGTTTTATATCCTTCCCTTAGGCTGCTGCCTAAGAGGACAGCTTTTTTTTTTTTTTAATCTTCACAAAGTATCTACCCCATAGTCTGTCACCTGGTGGACCTTGTGTTTGTCTCTTCCTGTCAGCCTATGCGTGTGTGTCGGTTAGGGTGCATTTGTCTCAGAGCAACAAAATATCTGACTAAAAGATATCAATTGTTATTGTGTTTAACTGGAAGTCTCGAGGTGGGCGGTTTCAGCCTGCGGTGTGGGGCTGTGTGAGGGAGGAGGGATGGGGGGAGGGAGGAGGAGCAGCTGACTGCAGTGCGGTGCTGAGAACATGGGGCACCAGGAGCAAAGATTGCCTGTCAGCAGAATCGGGCCGAAGTGTTTTTCAGCAAGCTTGGTCATAGATTAGGAGCTGCCTGGAGGAAGCGTGACCTCGGCCTGTGCACTGTGGCAGATCTGAGGATGTGGGGAATCTGAAGATACAGCCACTGATGGCAGTCAGTCCACTGTAGCAAGTTCTCTTGGTGGGAGGAAGGAGCCACGCACCTCTCTGGCTGCCACCCTTTGCTGCTGGGACACAACACTGCTGGAACCTGTTGGAAATCTACTCTCTAGTGCATGAAGGAAAGCTGTTAATGGGGAGGTGTCTCGGTCTGCTACCAAATGCCTGCGGAGGACAGCAGTGCCTGGGGAAGCTGCTGGGTGCTGCTGCAGGGCTTCAGTCGTAGCTGGCAAGAAAAAATCTAAAAGGTTCGAATCTGTTTTCACAGAGCAGGCAAAAGGGGTGAATTTGGAGCTGAGGGGCACTAAACTGATGACCTGCCCAGTCCACCCCTTTGACGACCTGGCTGCCACATGTACATCACACCCGTGAACCCCACACAGCAACAGCCGCAGCAAAGGAGACAGCTCTGTGTATGCCTGACAGAGACAGCTGCCCTTCCTACCAGTGAACAAGTTTTAAACCTTTCTCAAAATGAGATGTGCAGCCCCAAGATCCAGTGTCCATTGATAGTTCTGTGCTCCTCAAATCCAGTCACAGTCACACTGAATATTAGGTTGTCAGGTTAACTTCCAACAAGTTAACTAAAAAATGGTAGAAGAGAAAAAATGGTGAGCACCTGCGAGTTACCATGTGCACAAAACAAGCAAATGGGAAATGAGCAGAGCTGCCTGGAGTCCTCATTCCCGCAGGTGGGCCCCGCGCCGTAACCGATGCCCGCACTTCTTTCTTCCACCCCCACCTCCCTGTTCACTCTGCCCGTAGCTCCAGCCTCAGCTATTCCAGATGCTGTACCTGGGACAGCGACCAGATGTTCAGTCTCTAAGGCCGGGGCTCCTTGCTCATCCTGCCGCCGCCCCCCCCCCACCCGCCCGCACACACTTCCTGGGTGGCTGTAGTTTTCCATTAACCTCCATGACTGGACGTAGTCCATTTTGCCTCCGTTGTGCAGGAACAATCCGGTTTCCCTTCGGTAGTCAGGATCAGTCAGACAAGTGGTTCACATTCCCCTGCCCTACTCCCCACCCCCAGCTGGTTCACTAGCATGAGCAACCCAAAATGTCCACGTGACAGTCTCATTTTTGACTTAGTGGAACCATTGTGTCCTCTGATGGAAGCATTCTTCCCCCAGGAACTAAGATCTCCAGGCCAGCAGGGCTTAAAGTTGCTGGGACAGGAAGCAGAAATTCTGTGAGCAGTTTATTGGGAGGAATAGAGGAGTCCCTCTGACATCCACTGGTTTTGTAGACCCATGCATATTGGCTGTGGGGGAGGGAGCACCAGACAGTGGTCTGATTCAAAGCATATACCACATCCTATACAACGAGCACCAGACGGCACTGTAACTGTGTTTTCAGTAAGCCGCTCCACCTTTCAGTTAGGCTGCCCGCTCCCAGATGATGGGGAATGTGGTGAGACCAGTTAATCCTACAGGCATGAGTCCGCTGCCGCGCTTGCTTGGCTGTGATGAATTCCTGGGTCAGATGCAATGCTGTGCGTAGTTTCGTGATGGTGGGCAAGGCATTCTGAGAGTCTGTGCGGGGTGGTCTCCATGAAACTAGTAATTGTACAACTATTAGTGACCGTAAGGTAGGTCAAAGCAGCAGACTCAAATGGGGCATATGTTGTCTCCAAAAAAGCTTGCTCAACACTGTACTGCCTGTGTATGTGTATGTGTGCATGTGTGTGTGTGTGCGTGCGTGGTAGGTGGTAGGAGGTACAGCAACTTAGAGGGGATACATTGATATACTTTTGACCGTTGACCCCCAGAAACTTCACTGAGGTGACAGGCCCCTGAATTGTGTTGGGGTTAAATTCCACCCTCTTGTTTGCTGATGTCTTACAAGGCATTTAAAGTACTTGGTTCTTCCTGCTCGTTGGATCCAGTCATCATGATATCATCAGTATGGTGGACTGCTGTTGTGTTTTGGGGAACGTCAAGATGATCAAGACGTCTGTGGACTATGTGATGGTAGAGGGTAGGAGAACTGACATCGTCCTGATGTAAAAATGTGAAGGTATACTGTTGACCCTGCCAGGTAAAAGCACGCGACTTCTGGCAATCTTTATAAACGGCATGGAGAACAAGGCATACTGAGTGCCAGAGCCTGAGCTGTACCAGTAAGGAAGCTGCATCTGAAACGACAGCTTCGATGGGAGTCAGCGTCTGATTAAGTTTATGATGTCTGAAGTCATTCTCCAAGATCCATCTGACTTCACAGACCTTCTGCCACTGTCCTTCTAGTCTAAGGTACTGCCAGTTTCTCCCCCACATTCCCTTGTCCCCTCCCCCCAGTTCATTCACACTTCCGCCAGAGTAATCTTTTAGGGCACAAATCTAACCATGTCACTCTCCCCTACACCCTGATCTGTCGCTTAAGACCCTTCCTTGGCTCTTAGGATAAAGACTTAGCCTCTAGTTTCACCTCTCGGGATGTTTCTCCTGGGCCTCAAACCCAGGCTCAGCCGCAAGACACCCCTCCTTTGTGCCCCCTGCTTCCCCTGCCTGGGGTGTTCTCTTTTCTTTAACCTCCTTCTCTGCTTTTACCTCTTGAACCTCTCGTATCTGCTCAGTACTGTGCATCTCTCTAGTTGATAGCACGCACCGCACCTGACGTATCCCTTTTTTTTTGTCTGTGACTCTGATTAATGTCTGTGCTCTCAACTAGAC